GAGTCTTGGATCATTATGGGCAAAACTCAGAACGCTTAATAGATTCACCGGAGAAAAGTTAACTTCTTTAAGTACATCTTTGGTGAGGTCAAGACAGGAAAACTGAATCCAGGCTGTCAGTGCTTATCCCAGGGGTGATTTATGCATTCTTGAAAGAGCTCTGGAGAAGGCAGCTCGTATGACTCTCGGGATGACCAATTTATCATGCGCTGAATGTCTTCTTATAGCACCTTCGGCAGCGAGACATCTTTACAATGTTTAAAATCTTTAACAGTGATTATGCACCTGATCTATTTTCCCTTTTCCTTCCCACTAGGTTGGAACATAGCAGGGGAATTCCAAAGTCATGTAGGAACTATATCGCTGTGAAGTAGCGGCTCTCACATCGAGTCCTAAACTCTTGGAACCGACTTCCAGAAGAATTGTCAGCACCCTCTGTTGACTCATTTAAGAAGGGTTTGGACAAGCACGGAAACTTGTTAGAAGAAAATTAACATAGGCTTTAAGCCTACTAATTTCCTAATCAGTAAATCTAAATCTAGAAACATTTTTGTTTTTTAGCAATCAAGAAGAGAGCTCAAAGAAATCACTGGTTTATACTAGCTCGAAATAAGGATATTGGATCAAGCAGCTACAGATGGCATAGAGATATCAGGAAAAAACGTGAAACGTTTCACTCCCACCAACTCAGAAAACAGCACAATTGCATGTAAATCGTGGATACCAAAATCCACACCGGTTATACTTGCAATTCCTGCCATAACTGCCCCAGACACAGAGGTTGAAGCACCAAGGGTACCTGTCGCCGGGAAAAGACCCTTACCGTCCACCAGTAAAAGTGGCCACAGCACTGCGACACATAATAATACCCAGTTGCACCAGATGAAACAAAACGGTCTTAAGGGAGATGACAAATGTGCGAGGACCGAACCTAAATCCACGGTCAGTCGATCAAACTGCGTTATCCTCTTTAATGTACCAGACTGTAGCAGTAGTCTGCTGGAAAACAGGGCCCTGTTTGATCAGGAACAGTGGTCCAACTTATGTAGCACACTGGGTATGGACATTCAACCAGTAAAACTGTGCAGATTGTATAAGGGCACTGCAGCTCCTCAAGGCAAACCATCCCCACTGAGGGTAACACTAGGCTCTGCCGAAGATGCCGAAAAAGTTTTATTGACTTCCCAAGTCCTTTCTATAGGGAGGACCTGCAATATACGTGTTAGGCCAGATAGGCCATGGAAGGAAAGACAGATGGCGAGGGAGTCGCCAGAGCTTATTCCTTCTGCCTCCATGGTTGTTCACGGCATTCCTGAACTGGAAACTGGGAACGCTTGTGAGAAGCACTGTCACGATGTCCAGCAATGGAGATGGTTGGCATCCCAGATGGGTCTGGGAAGTTCAGGGGCTGTCTCTATTTTTAGACTGCCTCGACCCACTCACCTAATGTCAATTAACACCCCACGTCTGTTAGCTGTTAAGTTTAGCTCCCGAGACCACTTGACTACTGCTCTCCAGAGATGGTACGAGACCAAAGACAAGGTCAGCAGACACATTCGCTGCTGCGAGAGCCGGCCTCGTACCCAAAGGAGAGAGCAAAACGTTGTCACAGAACATCCCCAACCCCTAGTCACAATACAGCGGTGCAGCACGGACGATGATAGCCAGTGCCATCCAAGTGCTCCGATTGAATCAGAAGAAAAAAAACGCCAACAGGCCGGTTCTCGGGGAATCGGCCAACTAGTTCGTAGGATAACTCCTAAACCGACAACCCACATCACGTCAACCACCCCCCAATACGGGGACGTGGTGAGACTGACTACCAGTTGCCTGTACAGTAATGTGAGAGGTCTAAGAGGCAAAATAGCTGAACTTAGATACCTACAATCACAGCTGAACTCCAAAATCATAATACTGACGGAAACCTGGCTAACCCCTACGGTGGCAGACAGCGAAGTCAGTATAAATGATATGGTCCTTGTCAGGCGAGATAGGGATCTGAAAGAAGGAGGTGGAGTCGCCATATACGTCGACAAACAGCTCAGATGTGTCCATGCAATCGACCCTCCCCTCATTGAGCTCCCTGACTCAATATGGTGCCATTTCACCGTTGGGTACTGCAAGTATCTAGTGGGCAGCATTTACAGATCACCTTCATGTGGAGCAGACCACAACCAGGTACTGCTGAATGCAATTTCAGCGACACATGACATGGGTTATGATCAAATTGTCATAGCTGGAGACTTCAATGCCCCATCTCTTAACTTGATGACCGGGTGTCCCCAGGACAGATTTGATCGAAATCTGCTGCATACCATCACGGAGGCCGGATTCACCGAAAATGTCCGAATGGATACTAGATGGGGCCCAGATGGGAAGTCTTCTAGACTGGATTACGTGCTCACTAGTGACCAGCTACTAGTGGAAAACGTTCAGATCACGACTCCCATAGGTAGTAGTGACCATGCGGTCATAACATTCGACATAGTCCTCCGCGAGCGTTTACAGTGGGACAATACACAGCCCTATCTGTGTTATAACAAAGCCAATTACACCGAAATGCGAAGACTTTTGTCTGAAGCAAATTGGCCAAAAAATTGGACAGAGCTTACAGTAGAAGAACACTGGAGAGTGGTAAAGGAGATCATTCACCAGGCGATCTCAGACACTGTTCCTTTGGTCACACCTAAAGCTAGAAAGCAACGTTCATGGCTAAAAAGGGGGACACAACGCCTTCTACAGGCGAAGCGAAAAGCCTGGTTTGCGTGGCGATTATCGCAGAGTCAACCCGAACATAAAGAGTACCTCGAACTCAGGAATCGGTGTAACATACGAGTCCGGAGTGATAGAAGGACGTTTCAGAGAAACCTCGCCAATAAGCTTCTCGTGAACCCCAAAAGCCTATACAGGTTTATGTCTGAAAGAAAACCGACCAACCAGGGAGCTTGCAATGTAGTGGGTTCTGATGGGAAATCTCTTACTAGTCTTGAAATGGCAGAGACATTCAGTCTAGCCTTTCACAGGCAACTGAACAGTAACGAGGATTTTACCCTCACAAAACATCAAGATTACAATGCAAGACCAACGTGCGAAAACCTGCTGGGTACATTTCAAATTACCCCGGCTATGGTACTCATAAAATTGGGAAAGTTGGCTTCGGGAAAGTCTGCAGGTTGCGACGACATGAGACCATCCGTCCTGAAGCAGTGTTCAGAAAGTCTCTGCCAACCCCTAAGCGATCTGTTTCAACACTCCTTTGATGTAGGGAAACTTCCATGTGAATGGAAACGAGCCATCCTATCCCCTATCTTCAAGGGTGGTGACCGGCAGAACGCGACCAGTTACAGACCAGTTGCGCTACTCCCAGTGATATCGAAGATATTGGAAAGTCTCATTGACGACCACATGAGAAAATACTTCGACGGGACTAACCTACTCCATGAAGCACAGCATGGTTTCAGGAAGGGAAGATCCTGTGTGACGAATCTTCTACTAGCTTGGAACGATTGGACACTATCCTGGGATGTGAAGGTACCAGTCCATGTGATCTTTCTCGACTTTGCGAAAGCATTCGACACAGTTCACCATGGTCTGCTCCTTCACAAAATAAGCAAAGCGGGTGTTTCTGGAGCACTTCTCGCATGGCTGGAAGATTATTTAGGCGAGAGAGAATTCTGCACCAAAGTCAACCGCATCCGATCATCCTGGCACACCTCGGCATCAGGGGTTCCTCAGGGTTCTATCTTAGGGCCGTTGATGTTTTTGATTTTTATCAATGACCTGCCCTGTCAACTGAATTGCTCTGCGCTTCTTTACGCTGACGACGTAAAGATTTGGAGAGCAATAAACTCATCGGAAGACTCCGACAGATTGCAGGCTGACCTGCAAACGCTGGGGGACTGGGCTCTGGCTAACGGAATGCCTTTCAACTTAAAGAAGTGCAGAGTAGTGCAACTTCATTCCGGCAGGTCACAGAGTGCAAATTACACCCTTGGTGGCCAGAACTTGAGTTGTGTGCCATCAGAACGCAATCTAGGCCTTATTTTAACAGAAAAGCTAGACACCAGTGTAAATTACACGAGGGACGTCGCCAAAGCTTACGGCACTTTACACTTTATGCATAGGCAACTGGGAGCTCTTACTCCTGAACTATTCCTAACGTTGTATACGACATACGTGAGGCCACTCCGCAACAAATCATATGAGGAGAGACTGAAGAAATTAAGTCTTTTCACACTTAGTTACCGTAGTCACAGGGGAGACCTCATCACCGTCTATAAGATCCTAAATGACCAGGCCCATCCTAATAAGAGCATCCTGCCATTAAGTGATTATAGGCTTCCACGAGGTAACCCGCTAAGGATAGCACACCAGAGACCAAGGACTCGAGTGCGTTCACATTTCTTCTCGCTTCGAGTTTGCCGTCTCTGGAACGCTTTACCGGCGGCCGTAACTACAGCTCCATCTGTGGAGACTTTTAAGCGGAAGCTGGACAATCATGCAGAAATGCATGGTTTGTGTCTCAATGGCTTACCCTCTTAAAATTTGAAACCACATTGTCAATGGATAAGCATACAAGCTAAATCCCCACGACCCGTCCTGTCTTCTCCCACTGTACCGACTACTCTATCTTTTCTTCCTTTCTTTATTATTTCACTTATCTCAACCTATATTATCTACACTACAACCTATTATTATCATTATCATTATTATTATTACTCTACTTTTATGACTATACCGAATGACCAACGGGTGTTAGGTCAAACTCCATTCACGGCAGCAGCTGAGTTCTAACATACTGCACACTACAAACCACAATCTTGACCAATCCTCGCATCACTCCTCCTGGAGTCTACCAGAGCTAAAGCAGTCGAGTGGCGGGATTTACTACGCATAAGTTCACCGAAGATCCGGAACCTCTACCTTAAAATCAAGAAGCGAGCTCAAAGAAATCACTGGTTTATACTAGCTCGTAATCAGGATATTGGATATTGAAGCAGAGCGTATTTTGTGCTCAAGGTCGTGGTGACGTCTTATTGGAATGGAAAGGCCACTGCTTTCCCCATTTAGCCCCAACTTACCTCATTCCGCTAAAGAAAGATGGATCTGTATTTATCCTGCTTATATAAACAACCGCCGGACTAGAGCTCAGGGGAGGAAACTTTCAGTTGAACAGTGTGTAGACAATCCCAAACACTCTGAAGTAACTATGATTTTGGGAAAACTGTCACTTGACCACTTGCTGGAAACCAAGGTTGCCCTCTAAAATCTGTAAATTCTTATGCTTCAGGTTCATCCAAGGGAAAGGGACGCATTTGAACCCATGAATAAGTGGCGTGTTCGAGTACATTTGAAGAACGATGATGGAACTCCTATTAATGAACAGTAAGATTAAATAATAATATAAGATTAAATGCTATTAATTCAATTTTAGGTTTCCAAACCGCCAGGCTCTTCTTCTATATTTAGGGAAGGTTATTCCTGTCATTAGATCGAAAAGACCACAAACATCCGGTTCTAACACGACAGACCAGAATTTCCAAGGAAAAAAGAACAAACGAAAAGGGAAAAAATAAGACGGCGTTTTTTGTTGCGTGCACACTAAACTCTCCTGGCGAAAAGCTGTTCAAATAAATGGTAACACATTACCCAACATCTCTATCCTACCTTGTTCTCAGATGTTCTTGGAGTTCACTAGTTTTACACTTATTTTATTTTCTCCCTTGTACATTATTACCCAGCGGTATTTTTGTGACTTCCCTTGTTCTTTCACTGGTTCACGTGATAATATACTTCGCATTTTAATCAAACATCTTTCAGACTTTCAGTTCGTGTCTTTGGGAAGCACAGTGTTAAATTTTTACTACGCATTTGTGACATTCTTATCAGCAGTAAGTTTGCTAGGTAATATCTAAAGTCGAATAAATTGCAGTTCATATTGTACAATGGTGATTTTATCATGTAGCAATAAGTTAAGTTGGTAGCAAATGAGTGATGCGTATAAAAACTAGTAAACCTAAAACTTGATTGATGGAATGTTTCAAAATTCGAGTTGTAGTAGTGTACGTATTTACTGATATTTCCTGTAAACTGAGTGCAGTTAATTTCATCCTGACATCATGCACACATCTCTAAGAGTATTAATTAACTTCCCAATCTCTAAATTTCGTTACAGGTTTCCACAAAGTTGGATTGAACTTTCAGATTACGTACGAGCTAAGAGCGACATTGTTGGAATAAGTATTGAACTTTTCACTGAGTATTATGACTTGAGGGCAATTATTACAGCAGTAAATATGTTCTTCATTGTAATTTTTCTGGATATACTAATGTTTTTATTCTGGTTATTGTATGTTTTAAGTGTTTTTTCTAATACGTTGGTAAGATCAGTCAAGTTTTGAAAATCGTACCTATTTTACAAAAAGCTTATCGGAAGATACTGTGTGAGAAATTGTACTTCGAGGTCCAGTGGACACCACTTGATTCAACCTACAGTGAGCAAATGCAAAATTGCACGTATAGGCAAAATATGTAGTTTCTTCACGCCTTCTACTTCTAGCTTTTGTCTGGCAGTCGTAAACTTAAAGGAAATTGCTTTGTGATATACTGTCCGCCAAACCGCTGGTTATCATGCTAGCGTCAGATGTGCTAAAAGAGCCAACTCAGCAACCATTATTAGAGCTCATACAGCCTCTAGAATCAGTAAAGTCAACACCTTACCGCTTACGAAAATTAAGGGTTTTGAAAACTTCTGTATCATCATACCACATTTGACAGTAATGCAGTGTATATCAATCAAACATCACTGTCTTCAAAGCCCTAATGGGACTACGTTGTTTCAGCGACTTCATCTGAGGGTAAAATGTCCTCAGATTTTCTCCCAGAAGCAACTCTAGCCATTGGAATTCGTAGTCAATACATCCTTTCAGTACATTTGTAATGAAATTGAGTGAAACTGTTATATATCTTTGGAGGACACTTCTAATTGTAGTCACTTTTGTTGGAAACTCAGCGTAACCTGTTATTTGACTGTGTTGGTGTGAGTCTTATTCATCAAGCATAACTTGTCAACATCGGGCTATGCATTCGAGCATTATCCAGTAGGTTCAGGGTTCGAATCCTGTTCTGACTACCAGTTCGGTAATATCATTAATGCTCACACCATAAGTGTACCTCAGCTTGGTAGCTTAAGATCTCTGTTTAACTAACCTGTAACTAGTCAACTTGCTATATGCACAAACACTACTACAACACTTCACGACTAGTGGGACAAAATGCCACTGTGGAATGCATAGATCGTTGTTGGCAAATGCCAACCAGTTTACATAATCTTGTTTCATTTCTGTTATTAAAGAGAGTGCCAACTTGCGGTGCAATAGATTCCAGATAGTATCATACGGTTTAAATGCAGAGTCACAAACTGCTGCACTTCGGTGCCAAGTTCTATGTTGAATCCAGCAGCAGCAGCAGCACAAAGCTGTTGTAAGGGATGATGATATTAGCTTTACTTCAAACAGTACTTTTGATACCTATGTAGAACTTTTAGCATGTATACAATATTGCATCTAATTTTCTCATTAAATATGAGCAATAAACAGGGCATTTGCATTGATGATATTTGTTAAGTAAGAATATGAGTACAAAATTAAAGTGAAAGTATTAAAATAAAGAAAGAAAGAATAATAGGAGCCGTCTACTTATGGTGTAGTAGAATGAAGTGATATGCAACTTTATTGCCTGTTTTAAAGTTTCGTAGCTGAGCATCAGTAATTGAAGTAAAAGGAAACTAACAGTTCTCCTTGACATAATAGTCTTGTCATGTTCGAGGAAAAAAGCTTCCAGTGAATAAATTAGCCATCCTTCTTTATTCAAAGATCATGTTTTTTCATGAATGGAATTTGATGAAATAAAATTGATTATATTTGCTTCTCATGGACATCTGGTTCAAAACAGCCGTCTTCGTATTGTTACTTTTAAAAGCGTTTTGTTTATATAACTCGAAACTTATAGAGCATTGCCATAATTTAGCTGAATCTGGACTATGCGTGGTCACTGATTTTAGGTACTGTTCAAACCAACAAATGTGTTAACAGTAATCAAGCGTGTGACGCAATGTAAAATATACCCGAAGACAGTTTTATTAGTGTTTATCAGTTAACTTTATTATGAGGACTGGTCGCTACATTTCAGTAATGAGGATTGACGCTAGACTTCATCCGCTTTACTCACAAAATTGTCTCATTTGGTATCAGTAGATGTTCATCGTCACAATAATGAGTTTACTAGTTGTCCAACACATGTAATTAATTCAAGTTGTCAAATTTCTTTGGCAGTTGATTGCCGTACTGGAATCACAACCTGTCTGTGTTTTATCATTCTTGGTATGTCGAAGTAGTTTATAATATCACTGGCTGCAAGAGTGTGGAATCTGCTAGTCAGTCGAGATGTATATGGATAGTTTTGTCTAGATTCTAGTTCAACTGTAGTCTTACGCATTTGAATAGTGTAGCAGCATGCTGGAGGCTGTCTTTTTTCACTGCAATTGATTACGGAATCTTCTTTATATTGTTTTATAAGACCAAGCTTACTGTTACATGTAGTAAGGGAGCTCGTAATATGAGGAATAGACGTATGGAACTAGAAATGGGAAATATGAATTCCCAAAAAACGCTGATGTATTGTTGTCATGTGGAGCAGTCTTCTACTTCTTATTCATTCCGAGTGAAACTAGACTTCAGCACCACATGCCGATTGCAGTCGGTTCTCTGTCACCACTTTAAACTTGCTCAACGATTGCCTACAAGCCCATTTCCCCCACATATGATCCCTTTTACGTCATCTATGGATGCTCAACGCATTCGGGCTGCACTTGAGGGCTGTCTGGCATGTTACTTCACTGAGTAATCTCCTCAGCGTATGTCCAATCCGTCTCCATTTGCTTCTACGTATTGGTTGGACTACAGGTTCTTGGCTGGTTCGTTGACTGCCAAAGTTCTTTGTTCCTTATCCTCTCCGGCTGGTCATCTGATCTACAGCATCGAACGATGGTAGATATTGATGGAAGTTTGCATATGGATGTTTTAAATGTGCTTTGCATGATGCTGTATGTCTCTGAATCATGTACTCGCACTGACTTGACATTGGCGTTGAAATTTTCTATCTTATTCTTTGGGATTAATACTATAGGTCCCAAATCTTCAGAATAATGAGAAGCGATCCGACCTAGCTACGAAGCATACTAAAGCATTCATACAAGTTAAGGTGTGTACCGATAAGATAATTAAACGACAGTATAGAATCACTGACAAACTATACAGTAGTATACACAAAAGAGACTTTTCAATGAGAAAATTGTTTGTTACGCAAACATTGGACTCTGAACTGCATCATATGATTTAACGTGTAGTCTCACAGGATAACTGAATCGTCGAAAGGATTATTTCAAAACCCAAGAAAATTACTATTCAACTAGCTTTTTGTTAAAATGAGGTACTTTTGAAATACAGGATAAAAATACGAACAGGTTGTTTCTCAAGTATAAATACTAACGGGTTTATTAACAGGGATTGAAAACCTCAAAAATATTTGGTTAGTGGTCTTGCAATTTAAAAGCTCTCATGTTAGTTCGTCACAAAGTTTCATCGAACAGTGTATTGCCCTTATCATTCAAACGTCAAAAAAAAAAAAAACTGATGACTAAAAATACTGACGGTATTGAAGATTTGTTTTCTGTTGCATTTTACGTCTTCGTCGCTTCTTCTTGAAGAATTGAAGGTGGATCATAAATCGAATTCTCAATTTGCAAATTAATTAAATTAAGTTACACAGTCTGAGGTGGAATTTCACCACAGTTTACTTTGGAAGCCAAAATTATGCAGATCGAAATATGTGATGTGCTTGATACCATAAAGCGTAATCAAGGAAACAAGTTTATATGGATGGAAATATATACTACTGATTAGTTGATTTGAGTAGTTGCGTACGATCCACATCAACTAGTAGTGCTTACTAGCCAGATCGAAATGGTAGCTCGTTTGGGGCCGAGCTCACCAGCGAGGTACTCGGTTTGGAGAGGCGAATCAACTGAGAACACCGGATTTCTGGTTGGTCAGCTGGGCGAACTGGTAATATTCATGTACTGAGAACAAGATGGTTTTGAGCGAACAATCGTTTTCGATATATTCATGAATTTATAACTGAACAACCTGAGAAAGAAGTTATCGAAAACATTTGATCGCTCAAAATTATCTTGTTTTGATTACACTATGCAGATTTTTAATTTACTCATATCAATATCATTGAAAAGTTTGTGAATTGTCAAATTAATTATTAAAATTCTGCTTCAATAGCTTACATAAACTGAAAGGTTTTTATTTTGGTGATATTTCGAGCAAAATCACTACCCGTGATGGCACCAACTGTTGGAATTGTTTTTTTTCTATCACTTAATAAGAAACCATTCCAACAGTTGGTTTCGTCACGGGAAGTAATTTCGTTCGAAGTATTAGCAAAAAAAACAAACTTCTCAGTGTATATAATTTAGATTTTCAAAAGAACTTAAATCAAATTCACGGTTTGTGCAGTTTGAGGTGAAATTGGTTGGTTTGAACTGATGACGGATTTCTGAGTTCAGTCGAAATGAGTACACCACTAATGAGCTTGACTCCAGACGAGGAAAATGGCCGTCTGGTGTTTAGATCACTTCAGTCTGACTAGCGATCCCTACTACTCATCTCAGTCAATTAGTAGCAAGTAGTTTTGTGCACTGAAAGTAGGCCTTTCGGCTCTTTTGATTACTATTATTATTATTGTTTCCTTTAATTCCTAGAGGAACATAGGGCTTCAGCCGCGCGTCTCCATTGCGTTCGGTTCTCTGATAGGATCCTCA